AGAGAGAGAGAGAGAGAGAGAGAGAGAGAGAGAGAGAGAGAGAGAGATAGAGAGAGAGAGTGAGCATTGTTCGAGTAATTTTGCCAACAAGAACATCGTGTCGTATTTTCACTCAGCTCAATTCCACCTGTACGATATCATAGCTATATGAGTTTAAGTGCTATACACAAAGAAAATTAACGCTCAAGTAGATTGAGTGAATAACTCATCATTAATATGCAATTTTTGGGCCCTCTGCACGCGCCATCCGATATTTGTTTACACTGATTAATTGTGACTTTTTTGCGTCTAATGGTAAGAGGAGGTTGTCATTTCAACCTTCGGAATGAGAGCAATCGACTCCAACCATGGTTCGCTCAATATCGGAGATTTTGTGCACACATACATCAATATAGATTTTTATTTGAAATCGTAAATCGTAAAATGTTTCCTCAATCATGACGTTATGCTACACATTAAAATCAAGTGAAACTAAGCCATCTACCGGCCAATTTAAATACGTCAAATGCAATGACATTTCAAAAAACCATTTTTGTCGATTGTCAAACAATTCGTAAACAAAAAGGTTAGTTTATTGAAATTGAAAAGATTTTTCTGCTGTGGGAAACAAAATGCCACATGATCATCATCATCACGAAGGTGGATGTTCACATGAATCCACCGACTCTGATTATCTCAGGGAAATTGGCATTCAATATAGTTTATACACGAAAATCGATGTAGAAAATTTAGAATGTCTGAACGAAACCACCGAAGGTTCGGCGAAATTTATTTTTAAACCGTATGAGGAGCGATTGAACTTTGATAAGGTAAGATTTTATTACTTTTTGAAGAAAAAAAACATTAATTTTCCTTCTTTTTTGTACAATTCATTTAAAAAAGTCTATTTTTAATATTAAATGTCTTTGTTTAACATTGATTATAGTTTGTCGAAAGTGATGCGGACGAAGAGCTGCTTTTCAATATTCCGTTCACCGGTATGCTTTCTTTATTTATGTTTGAGCATATATTTTCTGACTGATTACATTCCGAATATTTAGGCAACATAAAACTCAAAGGAATCACAATTATTGGTGCCAACGATGATTCACACCCGAACAAAGTAAGACTGTTTAAAAACCGTCCGAAGTTGTCTTTCGATGACGCCAATTCGAAGGCCGATGAAGAACTAGATCTTGCACGCAACCCAAATGGTGACTTAGAATATCCAATCAAGTAAGTAGTGAATGATTCTCTTGACTGTGAATATTTTAACGAGAAGTTGAGAGTTGTTGATTTTTAGCAATGACAACTTTCTTGACATTTTATGCTCTGAATAATTCGCATAAAAGTGGTTATTTAGTCTATCTGTACTACATAAATCAACCATTTTCAACTCCTGCATAAAAATAATTACGATCAGATTTTGGTCAGTGAAATATGAAAAATGACCAACATTAATGATTTGCATTGCTAAAATATATTGAATGTCCATCATTTCAGACCTGTTCAATTTTCATCGGTACACCATTTGACGCTACATTTTCCATCCAATTTTGGTGACGACAATACTCGCATCTACTATATTGGTCTGCGCGGTGAATTCTCTCAGGCTCATTATCATGGAGTTACAATTTGCAACTACGAATCCCGGCCCAATGTATCCGACCATAAAAATAATGTTTTCGATTCTGTCAATCATAGAGTTCAGTAATAAAATCGAAGAGTGCATTTTTTTTCATTGTAAAATGTTCTCACTAATTTTATTCACTTTTTAAAAAATACAGTACAGCAGTTGGTTACACATATGATATCAGTTTTGTTTTTTTTGTTGATTTTTCTCATCGCAGGTCAATACAGCAATATAGTTTAAATGTATATAATTTAAAGTCTAATGAAAAAATTTGTTTTTGTTTTATTTTAATTTCAAATGTCTAATATTAAATATGATAGTCGCTAAGTGGTTTTTATTGCGGTGAATTAACAATAATGGGGTTTGAGTCACTTAAATACGTACAGCGTATCATAAAAAAACACATCTACAGACTTATTTCTTTGGCGGTTCAATCATAAATTGCACTGGCAACGCACGTGGTGTTACAATTTCATCGTCATCGTCTTCATCGTCACCATCGTGATCAAAATCGCTGCTTTCGTCAATATTTCCACCTCTTTCATTCAATACGAATATATCTTTACCTTGTTCACCTGACTGAGTCACGGCCGGAACTGGTTCGATATCAGCATCGGGACTTGCTGTTAATTTAAATGTTGTTGGTACAGTTGTTGTTGGCGAATTGGTTGCTTTTACCATTTTACCAAATATTTCTGGATAAAGTATGTCGTCAACGTAGTACATTGTACCCAAATTGTATACAAACACCTCGGACTCTACGATGTGGGCATGATTCACTGTCACATTACCTGGGGGAGTAATTGAATAATTGTTATTATTTCGTCATTATTTAATTAGTTGAATCAATTGTAAAAATTTAATTGCCGTCCAATTAGAAAGCTAGTTTTACCTGGTGCAATTCGTTGAATTTTCAAGCCAGTACCACCAATCGATTCAAACACTTCGTCATGCTTCAAATTGCGATCGTACAGTCGACCTTTTATGAAATGATTCAAGAGAAATTTAATAGCGGTTTCCGATGACATGTCTTCTTCACTCAGTTCATTCAATTCGTGCTTGTGGAATGCATCGTCCATTGGCACAAAGAATGTATAGTTTGCACCAGGTACATAAGGAGCGATTTCAGCATTGTTCAACAGCCTGTTGAATAACAGAATAATTAGGGGACGTCAGAGCTGTTATTAGCACAGGAGGAGTGTGAACACTCAATAGTATCCGTACTTTGCATATAAAATATGGTCAAAGTGTACCTGTACTTACTTGGTAACAAAGGTGAATCGTGGATCTCGTTCCAAAGCCAAAAATGAGTGTGACAAAAATTGTGCTCCGAACCATGGGAATGCCAAAAGTGGCGGAGTTTCTTTGTCTTTGTGCATCTGAAATAGTGATAAAATGTAAATATTTATTGGGTGTATAAATTAATTTTGAGGGATTTCTACCAGATGGCGTAACTTGTACTGTAACGCATCGGACCATACTGTAACTTTATTCACGTGAAAGCCACATCATTTGACATTAGTTTTCAGAATGTGTTATTTTGTCAAAGTGTAAACAACATAATTTTTTCGCTTACAATCATGTCAGCATATGTGCCAAAAAACAGCATTTGCGGGAAGTTTTACTTTTCTTCTTTAATTCGAAGAAAAGTGCCGCTGAGAGCCATCGATTATGGTCGGAAACTTATGGTTCTGACCATAAAATATCGATTAAAACATGCGAGTACTGGTTTCGACGCTTCAAAAGTGGTGTTTTCAACGTGGAAGACCAAGAACGGTCAGGTCAGCCAAAAAAGTTCGAAGATGCAGAATTGCAAGCATTATTGGATGAAAACTCGGCCCGAACCCAAAAAGAATGAAAAGTGGGTCTATTACGACAACCCCAAACGTAAAAGAGCGTATGTTCATCCAGGCCCACCAGAACCATCGCAGTCAAAACGAGACATTCATTGCCAGAAGGTTATGCTGTGCATTTGGTGGGATCAAAAAGGTGTCGTGTATTATGAGCTGCTAAAACCAGGTGAAACGGTTACAGCCCAACGCTACCGCATGCAATTAATCAAAATGGAGCATGCATTGAAGATTAAACGGCCACGGATAGCGTCTAAACAAGACAAAGTTGTGTTTCACGATGATAATGCCAGAACACATCGAGCAGACATCGTTAAAAAAAAAGTACAAGACTTCGGTTGGGACGGGCTTGATCAACCCGCGTACTCTCCAGCTCTTGCTCCTTCTGACTACCACTTGTTTCGATCGATGCAAATGGGCTTGTCCGAGATATCGTTTCGAAATCCTGAAGGAGTGCGAAAATGGGTCGATGAATGGATAGCCTCAAAAGATGAGGAATTCTTTCGACGCGGAATCGACAAGCTACCAAGAAGATGGGCGGAAGTCATAGCAAACGATGGGCAATACATTGGTTAAAGTACTCATTCTTGTTATTTTAAATAAATGTTTCTTTTCACACAAAAATCCCTCAAAATTAATTTATACACCCAATATATTATCAAGATTTTCAATCATATCTAAATATAGAGTGGAATCATTTGTTACAATAAAAGTTGTTGTAATTAACAAGCAAGTTTTTTTTTTTCACCAAGGAATGTAGCCATGGAATGTAGTTTAATTTAATTTAAATATATTGTCTTACTTGATGTAATCTCGATACAACCGCTTCGGATACAAAAAGAACTTCTGAAATCAGCAGAACTTGCGAACCATCTGGAAGTGTGTAGTCGGCGGTTATTGTTACATTATTGACCGTAGGTAAGGCTGTAAACAAATTTTTCCAATTTATTTTATTGCATTCGAATGGCGTTTTAGTTGAAATCTTACGTGAATTCCGGAATGTGACGGTTTCACCGCCCATTGTTTTGACTTTTGAGATTTCTGTAGCCTTTTTAATGTCTTGCATACGAATCGGGGCTTTCAATTGAAGAAAATGATTGCGTAGAATATTTTCGGTAAATTCTGAAACACTAAACGGGTAAAAGCCCCAATCGATTGGATGCCATCGCTGGAATGCACTATCCACAGGTATCATGATGGTGTAGGCTTTTTCTAAAAAAATTGTTTCATATATTAATTAAAAAAACTGACGAGAAATTGAATTCTGATGCTTACCATCGACCAAATGCGACAAATTCGATTTCATGAGAAAATGTTGAAAAACTTTTGTGCCAGTTTTCATGTTCATCAAAAATGTGACGAGAGCATTTTGTTTGAGTTCATATTTGGATGGTAGTACTTCTTCTTTGGTGGCATTTTTCCATTCGAGTTTTTGCGGTTCATTGTATCTGCAAAAAGAGAGAAATTAAATGACTCATCATATGATGACAAATACTGTGAGACCTCCTGCCGAATTAATTTATATATGCATACCGATTGTTATCATGAATATTTCGTTTCGAAAAGAGAGTTCGTTTGTCACCAAGTACACCATCGATATAGATGACCGAGCACTGTTTGTTGAGAACAGCCGTTCGAAGAATCTTTAAGTCATTCAGTGCCCAAATGCTTTCGTTGAATTTGTTCAAATGTGTAAATTTAATCAAATGATTGTTTGAATTTCCATAGAGATCTTCTTCGTTGAATGTGGTGAACGCTTCGCCTGGTATCAAATGCTCGAAAATGAATTCTTTGAGTCGATCGCGGTTTATTTTCGATATATCCACCGATGGTACGACTACCGTAAATTCCAGATCTGTATGTTGACAGCAAAGGACACAATTGTATCAGTAATTAGTCGATTTGTAAGCAATGCAAAGCGAAATAAATTAAATTCAATTGAAATAAGCATTAAATTCATAGATTGAGATTCTATTCTTAGTTTGCTGATTCGCTGGTTATTCCGATTATGTAAGTATGGTGTAGCCACAAAATCTATTCCATTTAACATACATGTGACTAATTGAAATTCCGGTCATGTCGTTTGCGATTCATTGTTGAATGTAGGTCTCGGTGTGCGAACGTTTTTCAAATGAGTAATGCACGTCTTGGCGTGTGTTATGTCTGAGACATCGTTTGTTTACTCTACTAAACAAGGCTGAAACACATTCAATGTGTGAATGCACCAAAGAAAATGAGAGAAAATTTTAAAGATGTTTGAAAATGTCTGTGACACCTTTAACCGAATCAATTCAATAATGATAAAAGATAAAATCAATCAGGAAGATGAAAAGTACACCGAAATGATTTCGAATGTAAAAATTCATATTGAAATATGATTTGCTCCATAATCATCGGAAATAAGTGCTATTTTCCATGTTTGCACTTTTTAAAATCGCACATTTCAGCAAGATAATAATAGTTTAAGAAAAAATAAAATTTTATCACGTACGGATACCGTATTTTTATCGCATAAAAAGCTTACCTCTTGATATGAATGTTCGATCGAAATTTAAATTGTCCCATGCTTGCAGTAACTTAATAAAATAATCATTTTTTTGGTCGCTGTTTCCCAATTTTGAATTCAATGCCGTTAAATCGGGAATGGTTCGTGTTGCCAAGACATCTTTGTTTTTATATAGATTCAATGTAACACCACTTGCACTGCTCGCTAAAAACCCTTCGCACAAGGTGAGCACAACCAAAATATAATGCGAAAACTGCATAATTGCTACAATTACGACTTTCGTCGATTGAACTTTTTTTATTTGACTTTTTTTCTCTTTACACTGACTGAGTTTGTTTTATTATTTGGTGTATTTTGTTGATTTTCGACGTTATGTTTCAACCAATTTCGCACTGCGACTGCAGAATGTGTAAAATTGAAATTTAAAAAGTTATGTGATTTCAACCGTTCGATATGCCTGACCTAAGCTATTTGAAATGCGGTTTGGCTACTACTTGGTCATTCATGTCTGTTGTGTGTGCTTCGCTTGTTTGCTTGCTTATATGCGATTTGTATATTTTCAGTTGTTTTTATGTGTTTGTGTTGCGCCAAAGCACCTGAAAGAAAGAGTTGAATAAAACATTATTATTGTTATAAAGTGTCTTTGAATTTTCAGTTCGTTTTTGTTTCGTTCATTGGGGGGGCCTTGTTCATTGTCTGTATGATACCCCGAAAACTCGGTGACCACATAACCGTTTCTGTGCAGTTTGGACGCGCACCGTAAAATTTACAATCAATCATTAATCGTATTATATTACACACGTATGCATGTATGCATGGAGTATTATAGAATCGCCTTGTCTGTAATCAATAAGCTTTCAAAATCTGATTGATTTATGTCTCTTTCAATTTATTAAGAGAGATTTTCCACACAAACACACACACACACACACACACACACATACACAGTCAGATGTTTGGAATTCATGTTGAGATCTCGTTTAATTTTTAAATAATATAATTGATTTAAATTTCAATAAATAAATTCTAATTTATTAAAAAAGACCGCCACATTTTCATAGGCACATTCCAGTGACGTACAAGTCATAGACGAATATACCCTCACTCTTAGCTCACCAACGCAAATAAATGTTAGAAAACAACGAACAAAGAAAGAAATGAAAATATATAACTTTCAACAATTGTTTTATTGAACTATCACCAATTCGTGGAACGCCTTTTTTATGTTTTGATTTTCAATCATACGCAGAATGTCTTGTATTTTCACGAAATGTCTCGAATAAATAAACTTACCTTGTTGTGGCAGCGCATCAACTATTTTTCCGGATTATTCCAATCTAAATTGGCTCGCAGTTGGCAAAAAAAGCAAAGGATGAGCTTTTTTTGGCAAATGCATGCAACTCACTTACACACAATACTATGACAAGTACAATAGAAATAGCGTAAGTGGGTGAGATATATAGACGGATGAAGAGATAGAGAAGGAAAGAGAGCGAGAGTCCTTATACGACTCATATGTTTAACACCAAAATATTTCCATTCCTGAATTATACGATAACTTTTAATTGCGCACGCTTTATCGATCCACCGCAGGGCAGGGTTGGACAACATTTTCAAAAAATCGCTTGTCATATTTCAACACGATGGTGGCTTTTCGTTCTACATATAGCTATTTGATTTTAAATAAGGGGGTTTGTAGAATCATCTCATTAAATTGTATGTAAGTTGTGTTCCATGAAACGTAATTAATACTCAAAGAAATTGAACAGAGTTTAAATGTAAATAGAACAGGAAGAATTTGAAGAATTTTCAAGAAAAAAAAAAGATTTTTTGCCCAAAACTTTTTCGATCACTTTCGTTTTACAATTTACACTTAAACACCTTTCGATCAGGTTAAAATACCATTTGTATTTATAATTGATTTAATTATATTGGTCAAAAAGAGTGTTATGTAAATTAAGTTTAATTTCAAAACAATATTCTTCTGTGTTCTATTACCGATTATATTTAAATAAATATATCGAATTATTATGTACTCTTATTTCGCTGAAAGAAGAATTTCATTCAACAAAATGAGAAATTTTCTTGGGAACAACAATGTTTAATGACAATTCCACCCATCATTATATGATTTTTTCATAATTCGTTTAAAAAAGAAAACATTTTCAATCAACATGCTTTTGTTTTAAAAAAAATCAATATGTCATTTTAAATTTCAAATTAATTTAATTTCTCACTGAGTCAAAACCATTCAATCAAATATCAATCATCTTAAAATAAATTAAAGTGAATTCTCAGAAAAGTCTTAATTTTATTTTGAAGTTGAAAACATGTTATTATCTAGAAAATGAGAAACATCCTTTTTGTTTGATTTGAATTTAAGAGCCCGAAAAACCCATTGATTCTATTGTGTTTTCATTTATTTGTTTATTATTTATTGTTTGTTCGGTTTAATATTTGATTCACAAAGCACTTTATCTAAACACAATATTTTCTGATTTATAATTTCGTGTGAATTCATCGGATGTCATGTCAAGTTTTTTTTAATGTTAATTCGCCACGAATGGCGTAAATGAATTTCATTAAAGGTGTTACTTGCAGGACCAATTTCAGAGTCTATTAAATTGCTTTTGTATTTTTTTTTGTTTATTGATCAAATCCAGCCGGCAAAGCATCCGAGAATACTTTAATTTGATTATCAATGATGTTGAATAGCTCTTGTGGCGATGGAATACGACCCGAGTCTAGTTTTGACCATATTGGAATGTCATTCAAGCTAATTTCGAAGGCACCCGATGATACCAACTGTACGACGAAAAGAAAACAAAATTTGTTATTAAAATGTGTAAAGAAAAATAAATAAAAACCAAAATGTCGGTATTATATTAAGTGTTGAATCAATAGAAATGTAGATCGTAATTGTCCTCTTAAATTTCAAAGTTGTCGCCTACCTGAGCTTCGAGCATGTTACCAACGAAGAATACCATCATACATGCATAAATCTTATTTTCCGTGCACCATGTGAACCATCGAGGTACAGCCTGACCAATTTGTCCCCAAACGTCGTATTGTGATACGATAATTAGGATGAAAATCATTTTAACTGCTAAAATGGCCTTCGATAGCAAAAAATTTAGGCCTGGTGGATCGTAATTGGCACCTTCGATCGATATTTGTGGATAGCGTTCATTAATTATATTTACATATTCTTCGAATGCTTTTCGGTAACCGCATGAATAACTGAAATTATTCAAAAACATAATCAAATTATGGCGCAAGATACATGACATGTTTATTTTATTGCCTGTTTGCTAAGGCATTATGCGTTAAACTTACCAGTAAAGGAATTTCATAGTTGGCCGAAATTTGGCCATTTGCGGAACTTCTTTTTCGCCTGATCCGCCGCAAATCGCAAACAAACTGATTATAAAACAAATGCAAATCACACTACCGATTCTTGAAATCATCTTTTTTCCCCTATAAATTTCTATTCGAAGTGAAACGTTTTAACGAATAAATATTAACAATTGTGATGAAATTGAAAGCGTCGCGCCTTTCGAATGTCGACTGGAAAAATGATATTTATGCCAAACGCACTTTGTCTACTAATGAGACTATATATAAAATTAATTTTCAATTGATGTCTTTCGATGACAATGGGCTTTTGACATTTGCACTCAGACGGTTTCATGTAGACAGCGCCGCTAAATACGAACTATATTCAATCGAATTAGGGTGTTCGCAGCAGAATTATCTTCGCCGACTCACCGTATTCAAATTCGGTGTATGTGAACTTGACCTCAAGCCAATGCACTTAATGATAAACAATTTTTTGAATAAAAGATTTTTGGAAATGCAATTTTAAATATTGGTATTTTCGTGTATTTCATGAGCCATCACCGATGACCGTTTCGTTATAAAACTAAATTAGAATCATTTTTTCATGAACTTTCCAAAGAGTTTTTCATTTTGGACTTTGGTCGAGTAAGATACCTAAATGACTCTCGTTTTCTATAAATTTCAATGTCCTAAAGACACAAAGCCTAATTCGTTTGCAAGTTTTGTGAATTCCATTCTTTTTCTTCGCGTTCTCTAAGCTTTTTGGTTAATTCTTGTTGTTGCTCCAGTATGTACATGTTCTCAAATTTTCTTTGCTCTTGTTGTTGAACATCTCGTATGATTCCAGCATGTAGTTTGTATCTACAAATTCAATGACATTTCATTAAAATTTCAACGTAAAAATATAAATTGAACATTTGGAATGAGAAAACTTTAATCGTTTTTCACCTATCGTCATGTTGTTTGAAGTAAATATAACTGATGATACCGATTGATGTGGCAACCGAGGCTGCAAAGGTCAGTTTGGATGTCGTCGACATATTTCCCAAACTCGTTTAATCTTGCTCACTCCAAAATTCTGTGCTGTTACTTAAGTTTACTTGAAAAACCTTCTAAGAATTGAAAATTTCCGGCGTCGTTCTATGTATAAACGCATCTCTTTGTGGTTATCGTACATTGACAGTAATTTGACGTTTCTATATCAAAAGGTGTCACTCTCTCATGCTATATATAAGAAAAACGATGCCAAACGTACAACATATAAAATGCAAATCAACCAATGAAATGAAACTATATTATTAATCCATATCTTATTCTTTATTCTTTTATGTTTAAAATCAAAGTCAAATCAAAGTCCAAGATCGAAATTTGGAGCAAACAAAAAAAATAAAGCACATATAGTAGTGCATACTGTATATGTCAGTGATTTTGTTTTAGTTTGATAGATCAATTCCATGTTAGTAGCGACCTTTTCGATCACGGCTTCTAGAGCGACGACGTTCTCGTGAGCGTTTACGTTCTTTTGGTGATCGTGAGCGACTTCGGGAACGACGTGAACTGCGCCGAGAATAGAGATATCTGAAAAAGGGGCGATTTTTAGTGATTGCAAAAAGAAAGGTGAAATACAGTCGATGCAAACCTTCTCAAATCCCTGGAAATCGGCTTCAAATGCATGAAATTACAGAAACCAGACCGTGTACATTCGCCCATTTCGTATTGACGGCAACATGCTTCACGAAAATCAGTAACTGGTGATAATTCTGCATAAACCGGACGGCCACCAAACCAACGATTGTTTAGATCTCTTGCAGCACGTTCTGCGTCTTCTTCGCGACGAAACTGGATTACAAAAAAGACGAATTTAATGCATTAAAATTATTATTCGGAGAATATATTTTAAATGGTGTGGTCAAACAAATGAGTTTGAGTTGACAATAGATTACATACCTTAATATAAACATTTCCAACGAGATGGTCACCCAAATTGTCACATACATTCATTTCTTCAATTTCTCCATATTTATCTTCGCATTCAACGAATACGTCTTCGAAAAAGTTATCATAGTGCTCTTGCATTTCTTCGTCACTAACATTTGCAACCACTAAAATGTACGACGTAGAAAAAGGGAAAAAATATTAGTAATGCACAAAAATGTTGGGACATGAAATGCTTTTATACTTACAGTGGCTGCCATCGGCCGATTTGGCTGAATTTTGTGGATTAACATATAAATTCTGTAGTAAAACGGTTTGCGAAAATGTTGGTTTATTGTGTATACGGGAACAACGGTCACCGTGTCGACATGCACCAATTTTGAAATAGAACGAACAATTAACCCTGAAATTGAATAATTTATATTATAACCAAATGTACATAAAATGCCGCAATTCAAATACAATTTACAAATGTCATAATTCGTTTAGAGTACGGTAATACTTACTTGTCTTTTTCGGTACCGAAAATCGATGCCAAATATTCTGCCATCCTTTTGGATTGAGTGTAAACTTTTAATTGATTATGATGTACAGTCGAATGATGATGGGTGATTGATGTGTAAACTTGTATTAATTATAAACTAAAACAATAATTTGCTTTCGTTCTTGTGCCGCAACTCACACCACATCAAATGCCTTGCAGCTTTGAAACACAAATAATACAAGCACATCAAACGAGCGTGAATATGGCGGCAATCCAATGCACATGAAGTAAGTCACAGCTCACACATCGGTAATTATTCAATTTCGAAAATGAGACAGATGTCGAAAATAGGTATATGTTCTTTTCATTTTTATAATGAATTTAACTTAGAAAAAAATGTAATTTGAGCGGAAAATCAATTATTTTAAAATAAAGATCTTTTTTTTTTTTTTCAAATTAATAAATACGTAAAATTACAGCAAAGCATAAAATATAAAAAATAAGAATGTCAGTTGTCTGCTAATATATACTGTACTGTACGTCAATGGTAACCCTGCGAAGGAGGTCACAACACATGAGTGTTATTCATCAATTTTTGCGGATTGCCTTTGTGTATGTACATGTGTTCTCGACTTTTCTTGCATTTTCGAATAACAAATAAGTCAAGTTCGAAGCGGTGTCCGCATTGATATAATTCATTTTACATTAGAAACATCTAGTTCACACGTTCAAGTGTTTGAAATCCACTGTGTTCATAAATAAAATTCGAATAAAAGGCGCAATTAAGTGGAAACTAAGTAAAACGAAAATGAGTACCGATCAGGTAAGCGAGAAAAAAAATTGAAAATTCTTTAACACCAAAAACGTGCAATATTAGCCTGTTCAGAGAGAAAAATTCCTGAGTCAGTGTAAAAATTTGTGATAATCGTACGGAGACATTATGATTAACGTATATTGGTCTTTATTGTTTCGTTTACCGTGATTGTCAATTGTAAGGCGTACATAACCATATTTTTTAATTTTTTTTTGTTGCTTTCCATTTATCAAAGATAAACGCATTGAAAGAGAAGGGAAATCAGGCTTTGGCCGCTGAAAAATTCGATGAAGCTGTTCAAGCGTATACGGAAGGGATTAATTTAGATCCAAAAAATCATGTATTGTACAGCAACCGATCGGCTGCATATGCCAAAGCCGGTAAATATGAATCAGCATTGGAAGATGCAAATAAGACAGTTGAATTGAATCCAACATGGGCGAAAGGTTATTCGCGCAAAGGAACTGCCCTATCATGCATGCAAAAGTATGTTGAGGCATTTGAAGTGTTCCAAAAAGGTTTGGAATTGGATCCGAACAATGCTGCATTGCAACAAGGTCAAGCTGAAGTACGAAATGCGGTATTGGCACAAATAATGAAAGGTCAACCAATGGATGAAGATCCAACACCATCACCACCACCCAAATCGGAACCACCAAAGCCCAAAAAAGATGAAGAAAAACCGGCCGAAGATGCAAATTTACCCGAAAACATTAAATTAGCCCGTAAAAGTAAAGAACTCGGAAATGCAGCGTACAAAAAGAAGGATTTCGAAAATGCACTCAAATACTATAACGAAGCATTGCAACACGATCCAACTGACATCACGTACTACAACAACATTGCGGCCGTTAATTTCGAGCAAAAGAAGTACGAAGAATGTATAAAAGAATGTGAAAAAGGTATTGAGGTGGGCCGCGAAAATCGCGCCGATTTCAAATTGATTTCGAAGGCATTCAGTCGCATTGGTAACGCGTACAAAAAATTGGAACAATGGAAATTGGCCAAAACGAACTATGAAAAATCGTTATCCGAATATCGATCACCCGATGTAAAAACGTTGCTTAGTGAAATGGAAAAAAAGATCAAAGAAGAAGAATTGAAAGCCTACGTTGATCCAGCTAAAGCCGAAGAAGAAAAGGAAAAGGGCAACGAATTTTTCAAGAAGGGTGAGCTTCATTTTCAATTACATATATCCATTTCTAGATTACATTTGAATAGAACATTTATTGAATTGTAAAACGTTCTTTCTACCTCAAAAGGTGATTTCAGTACGGCCATCAAACATTACACAGAAGCAATAAATCGTAATCCAAATGATCCAAAACTGTACAGTAATCGTGCCGCTTGCTATACAAAATTGGCTGCCTTCGATTTGGGCCTGAAGGATTGTGAAACATGCGTGAAGCTGGATGATAAGTTCATCAAGGGATGGATTCGTAAAGGAAAAATTTTACAAGGCATGCAACAACCTTCGAAAGCATTGTCGGCCTATCAAAAAGCGCTTGAATTGGATGCATCAAATGCTGAAGCACTTGAGGGATATCGTCAGTGTTCAATGGCTGTACACAGCAATCCAGCCGAAGTTCGGCAACGTGCCATGGCTGACCCCGAGGTGCAGGATATTCTACGGGATCCAGCCATGCGAATGATTCTTGAACAAATGCAAAGTGACCCCAAGGCTGTACAAGAGTAAGTTAATGCCATTTTAACTCAATTTTTATTTGATAATTTTTCTTTTTCCACTTGTTATTAATAGCCATTTGAAGAATCCAGAAATAGCATCGAAGATACAAAAACTCATTGAATCGGGCATTATTCAAATTCATTAGGAATAACATACTATTGGTATGCTATACCAACCGAAAGCCCATATCGACTTTAACCACAATTGTGTACCAAATAAAACGGGAAACTAATAAAATGGAATATATAAAGGAGACATCAAATCTCAACTGAAACAAATTATTTGATCGATCAAGAAAATAAAATGGAAACATCAGCTTAGAAATACAA